AGATGAAGTATATCACTCACCAAACAATATCGTTCTTTTTTATAAGTCCTGTATGGCTAAGGTGATAGAATGACAATTTGACCTTTATCTTGAAGGTTGAGCTAGATTGAATCTTTTATACAACTCATTTTTTACAAATTTTCTACATGAATATATATATTTCGTAGGGCTGTATATTTAGTTCACTCTCTGTCACATGCATTTACAATATCTTTTAACTATTTGTATGTGCATATAATGTTGTTTGTCATGCATTCATGCATTTTTCTTGTGATTATTGATCATTTGTGTTTATTTTCGCTATCAAACTTTGTGTGAACTTGTATGCTTATCTCTTCCGTACATTTTTTGGATTATTCTATCTGAATTTATCTTGTATTATGTATGTCCATAGTATGTTTTGGCATTTGTTAATTACAAAAGGGAGAGCTAATACCAATTGAGTGTGAAATTGTAAAAATCATACATGAGTTTTTGTTTTTGAATCTTTTTTTTTTGAAAAAGTCCATGCATTATTGTAAGGGAAGTTCCACTATATTTGTTTTTATCTCATGTTTCCACGAATGTAGGGGAAATATTGTATATACTTTTTTATTATATTATAAAACTGGATGTGTACTTTTCATTGCGTATATATAAATCTCAAATAGTTCATTATAGTCCTTTTTAAGTTTCAGGGTTGTAATTACCAAAACAGGGGAGATTGTTAGGATGTTGTTCATATAGTTTCTTATTTAAGTAATAACAAACATTCATCTGAGTCTAACATGTGTATGAGATGATCTACTATAGGTTTATATAGGTATGAAACAACAACGAGGCGATTAGTGTTAAAAATCAGTTCAGTAGTTGACTTCAGAACACTAACCATCTGTGATCGAGAATCAACCATCAATGATCATCTATGGACCACCAATGATCATATTGACCACCAATGATTTAAATATCCAAAGAGGTTCAAATTATCAATGGCAACACTAACCATCAATTATCTAATATGGATCATCAATGATTAAACTTAACAAAGGCATTTTGATTATCAATGAAGTTAATCAACCATCAATGATAACATTTGAATCATCTTTGATCAACTTTGACTGTCTACAGTCACACAACCGATCTAGATTTGGTATTCAATCACAGCTGTTCATTGTTTTATACCTTTCTATTTTCTCCTACGTTTCAAGCACCTTAACCTGACCTAAGCTAGAGAGAAAAATAAAGAGAGAGAGAGAGGGAGAGAGGGAGAAAAGCTAGGGTCTCGCAAGATTAATAGAGGAGAAGCTTTTCAATAATCTGGAGCTGCGTCGATTGCTCAATCATTGTGTTCATCATTATCTTATCAATCAACTGCCAGGAAAGCAGTCCTAGAATCTCAGATCTATATCAAACTTCCAGTTATTCACTTAAATCACATTGGAGTTTGATTCATTGATCAAAAGGATAGTAACATATTTCTACTTGCATGTATAGGATACTATTGTGTGTTTTAAATATTTTCTTTTTACGGCATACTCAAGCCGGGTTAATTGAAGATTTGGGAAGTAGATAGGGTTAATTGATAGATAAAAGTGCCAAACTCCACCTCGGTCTTATTTCTCATACCAATGTGCTCAAAGAACTTTAATTTGCAGGTCAAAGCACTCCTCAACAAACCATGCACGATATAACCAATCAAATATCCCAGCCTCAACAAATGCCACAGTCTAGCCAAATCTAAAGAAGTCGTCAGTTCTCTACCAATCACCATGCTCCCAATCAAATAGTATAAATTCTTCCTCTTGACGCCCTTCATCACAATCATGGACCCAAATGTGACCTTCAAACATGCATCCTCTAAGGTCACCCTATAGCCTACTGTCTCCAAAACTCCAAGTGAAATGATATTCTTCTTTAACTGAGAAACGAACTTCACTTCATCAAACTCCTGAATCACTCCGTCACATATCCTAATATGAATGGTACCGATACCACCAATAGGGCATTCATGATCATTACCCATGAGCACGACATCTCCTCTTTTCAACTCCTAAAAGCTAGAGAACCAATCCCTCTTAGGGCAAATATGGTAAGAAGCACCCGAATCCAACATCCACTCTGTAGAGTCGGCAACAAAAACTGACAGTAGTACTAATGAATAGCCCGATGAATCCAAATCTGAATTGTCGCCACTAGCCTTGATAACATTCACCTCTAAACCTTGAATAGCTTTGCCCTTATTCTTCCGGATCGATCAACCAACTTTGGGCATTCGGCTTTTCAATTTCCATTCTCTTTACAAAAGACATACTGATTCCTACGAATTCCAGGATATGCCCATCTAGACTGCGATCTCCTATTTCGGTTTGGACTCTTTGGTCTTGCGACCAATGCCCCTGCTACCGGCTCAACTGAAGTCTCCTTATCCTTCTTTCAAAGCTGATAATTCACAAGTATAGCGGTTGTTTGCGTCGAAAATTGATGTATTCATTGCGGTATTCATTACAACTTCAATCGTTACAATGAAAACAAAAAAAATTGTCTTTTTATAAGACTTTTACACAATGAAAACAAAAGTTTACAACTCTCGTCAAAACAAACGCAGAGATCGTTTATCGGTCTTCTGCTTGCGTGGGATCTTTGCCTGTGCCGGGGTTTATCCGTGGACCGCCTTAGATCTGGATCCGGTTGATGAAAAATTTGGCAGAGCTTCGCCTTCGCCGAGGAAGTATTTGATTTGAAGCGTTGAAATCGACCAAGCGAAATCAGGGCTCTTCTCGAGATTAAGACCAAGCCTAATCTCAAGGGACGGACGGGAACGGGCGTCGGATCTCTCGAACCCTCCTTCTTTATGCCGAAGAACTCGCCAAGATCTGTCAACCCTCGCTGAAATTCGTGCTCCTTTGACTCCACAATCCGGCAGCACCTCCTCGTCTTGATAATCAATCGCCCCCGCTGAAAGGAGACCCTAGGTTTGTATTTATAGGGCTTCGGAAGCGGTTATTTGGATGAGAACAAGTGATTTGGCTCTATCTTCAGTTAACAACAGCCTAACCACGTTTGGGGATGATATCAGGTCAGTTAGAAACCCCTGGAACCAACAAATCTCGAGAAAAACCATCAAAAACCGAACCCGATCGAAACAGCGCGCACAGGACAAGTCTGACCCGCGCTTGCGCGGGTCGGATCAGTCCGACCCGCGCTTGCGCGGGTCGGACCAATCCGACCCGCACTTGCGCGGGTCGGATCAGTCCGACCCGCGGTTGCGCGGGTCGGACCAATCCGACCCGCGGTTGCGCGGGTCGGACCAATCCGACCCGCGGTTGCGCGGGTCGGACCAATCCGACCCGCGGTTGCGCGGGTCGGACCAATCCGACCCGCGGTTGCGCGGGTCGGACCAATCCGACCCGCGCTTGCGCACGAGTTGATTGACGTGCACGCGTTTGACCGACGCGCACGAGTTGGTTTGACGAATCTTCTTGACTCGCCCATTCATTGCTTCGAGTTTCGTGCGGGCTCTTGTAGACAATTTTAGACGCCTACAGATACCCCCTCCAAAGTGTTTCAGCCTCATTCTTTTATAGAGGAGTCTGAAACGCTTTGGATATGATGGATCCCCACCTTCAGTCGGTGTTAAAGGACCTACAGATGGTTTCGATTCTTGACTTCTCCATATTTTAGCGTATTCTGTATTTTGTCGAATAGCTAAGATTTTCTCGGTACTGCGTTTATCGCCTGACCGTTATTGAAGCCTTGAACCGGAATTGGTGAGTGGATTTTTTTGGTTGATATGTCATTGAGTTGACTTTTGGATCAATTGCAACGCGTTGACTGGCGTTGACCTAGGGCTACGTGATATGTCATTGAGTTGACTTTTGGATCAATTGCAACGCGTTGACTGGCGTTGACCTAGGGCTACGCGCTGACTGGCGTTGACCTTAGGGTTTTGAATCGATCGGCGTTGACTTTCATCGCAACGCGTTGACAGGCGTTGACCTAGGGCTACGCGTTGACCGGCGTTGACCTTAGGGTTTCGTGTTAACCTGAGGAGAACCATTTTATACTCGTGTACTCCTGGGAGTTTCGGGAATCAGTTTAACCTCGTGTACCCGCCGGAGGTTGTCAGGTTATCCTTAAGAATTATTATCTGTAATATTCTCTAGGAACTTCCTGTCAAAATGGGAAACAGTTTAGACTCATGTACCCGTTGGAGGTTGGATATAGAATATTCCGATAATAAGCGAAAATATCGCGAAATCACCCAAAATATAAAATTGGGTCTCGAGTATTCTGAAATAGGCGAAAATATCTTGAAATTATTTGGGAGACGGAATTGAACTCCGAAAATTCTCAATCTGACTGAAAATGCCGCTCAATTATCCGGGAAATAAAGTCGAACTCTGAACATTCCAAATATGAGCAAAAACACCGTGAAATTGTCAGGGAGATGAGGTTAAGCTTCGAAAATTTCGAAAACGGACGAAAACGGATGAAAATACAGCAAAACATGCACTAGACCCGGTCTGACCCGCGTTCACGCGGGTCAGATGAATCCGACCCGCGTGATCGCGGGTCGGATTAATCCGACCCGCGAGCACGCGGGTCGGACACAAATCCGACCCGCGGAACGCGGGTCGGAGAGGGTCTTCATCGGTCCCAGCTTTCCTTTCTCTCTAAAATTTCGGTTTCTTTTCTCCTTGAGTTCTAGCCATCCAAGAACTTCTCCAAGATCAGAACTCCCCAAACCCTTTAAATTCCACATTGATTCCTTCCCCTCTTCTTCCAACTTGGATCCGAGTAAAGGGAGATTAAAACCTAGGGTTTGTGATTCTTCCAACGTGAGTTCGAGCTTAAGCATCGGGTGGAGTCCCTGCCTTGGATTTCGATTTCAGGTACAAATTGAGCTTTATGTTCTTGATCTTGGTTACCCCTTTTCAATTTGACTCGGTTTTCACTGTATCCTTTTATTCCAATCGAAGTCAAGAGCTAGGTTTTCGACGGCTTGGTGCGATTCTCCTCGCCGAATTCGCCGACTTTGATTCAGGTAGGCGTCATCCTCAGCTTTGGCTAAGTTCCATCTTGTGTTCTCAACTGTAAAGGGGGTTTGAAACCCTAATTCCGAATTTAAGTTAGAATTAAGATTTCTGTTCTTGATTTTAGCCACCCCTCTTCGATTTGACTTGGTTTTCACTCTGATTTCTTGTCAGGATCTCAGCTCCCTCTTTGCCTCAGATTCGAGTTTTGCTTAGTGGTGGGTTTTCTCAATTCAGATCATGCTATTCTCGAGTTCAGGTGAACCTCGAATGCTTCTGTTTCAATTTTGGTTGTGTCTGTGATCTTTAGCTTGGTAATTGAACTTTAGTTCTTGAACTTTGGGGGAAAACCTGAAATTGATGGCTGAAACTTTGGACTGTTCATGGCTAAAAAATTGTGGCAATACTGATTTCTTGAGTTGGTGCTCTTGGACTTGTGCCTTGTCGAGGTCGAATTTTGACTCTTGGTTAATTGTTGATGATTGCATCCAAACTTGTATGTGTATTTGAGTGGGGCCTAAACTTGTACATGGCCGAATTATTTGAATTCGAGCTTGTGTATGACTCGAGCTTTGTATATAACTGAATTCGTGCATAAATGAATCCTTGTATGTGATTGCACTCTTGTATGGTCCGAACTTGTACATGATTGAACTCGTAGGGCTTGAATTCTTGTACATGATTGTACTCTTGCATAGTTCGAACTTATACATGATTGAACTCGATGCGACTGAATCCAACCTTGTATGTGGTCGAAATAACTTGTATGCTTCGAATTCACTCTTATATATGGTCGGATCTTTGCACGATTGAATTCTTGCATATGCCTTGAACTCAAACTTTGAATTCAAACTTGTATATAGTCGAGAGCTTTATATGCCTTGAATTTGTACATGTGATTGAACCCTTGCATATGGTTGAACTTGTGAATCCACATGTTGATATGATCGAGACCTTATATTTGACTCCGCGTCACTTAACTTGATTTTCCCTTGGATTTTCATGCTCAATTGCGCACGCGAGCTATGTGGGAAACGCTTGATTTGCTTGGCTTATATATTTGATCTTCCTTTAAATTGAACCGAGAATGTCGTATAGGTTTAATTAGACCTTTAATTGGAAAATTCCATTTTATAGAATTTCAATTAAAGATTCGTAATTTCCCTTTTAGTCTTTCGATTTATGTATCTCGATTCTTGATCTGACTGAGCTGTTAATCTTTATTGCAGATTAGCTATGTCGACGCTTTGGACCGGCTGGAGCGCGAATTCCGACGGTTACAAGAGTTGAAGACTGCTGGTAGCTCAACGTACACAGCCATTTGGATGGAATCTCGTCTACAAGCATGGCACGACACTCGGGCTTCGGCTGGACTTGAGATTCAAACGCAACAAAGTCGGGTGGATCAAATGGAGGCCTTGGCTATCTTGGGGATGGCGAAGGGTGACTTGGAGCGTTCACGAGTTGTGATATCCGGAAAATTGGAGCTCTCGAAACAGAAGTTAGCCAAGATCCAACAAGAGGCTGCGAAAACATTATCCCTCACCGAGGAATCCTTCAAGGTTGCATTGCAGTGTGAGCTTGAGCGAACTTATACAGAGGAATGGACTAAACTTGAACAGCAAGCCTGTGGTCACAAATTTCATGTAGATTGATTGTAACTCTTGTACCTGCAAACTCAATTTTATTAATAGAAAATATGTTTTTTTCATTCATTATGTCTCATTTATTATGATGTCTTACTCCGTATGGAATAATCAACCACTACGTATGGAATAATCAACCATAATACTTGTGGGATTTTTGGCAAACCCCCAGCCTTCAACGGGTTTGATGAGCCTTTACCGACTACCGTTTGAGTCGGGCTAGCATGTGAATTATTAAAACCCGTTTCACATGTAACATTGCGCTAAGAGAGTTAATTCTCCTAGACTTGGTGCTATGATTTTGAATACATAGACTTCGTCTTTCTCATTGGAGTAGACTAAACGGCAACGCGTATTAGGCGTTGACTTACCCCTCCTTAGGCTTCGGAGTAAATTCCCCAGGCTTAGACCCTGGTGTCTTTTTCAATCGGTGAAAGACTAAACCGGCGACGTGTGTTAGACGTAGACTTAAGATTTTTGGCAAACCCCCAGCCTTCAACGGATTTGATGTGCCTTTACCGATTACCGTTTGAATCGGGCTAGCATGTGAATTATTAAAACCCGTTTCACATGTAACGTTGCGCTAAGAGAATTAATTCACTTAGACTTGGTGCTATGACTTTGAATACATAGACTTCGCCATTTCTTACGGGAATATGGCACCCGGCAACGCTTGTTAGACGCTGACTCATCCCTACTTAGGATTCGGGATAAAAGTCCCCAGACTTATATTCTGGTATCTTTTTCATTCGGTGAAAGACTAAACCGGCAACGCGTGTTAGGCGTAGGCTTATCTCTATTTAGGAATCGAGATAAAATTCCCCGGGCATAAAGTGCGCGGATTTGAGAATTACGTCTTTTCTCAGGGTAAAGACAAACCCGAAAACGAAAGAGGAAGAATTTTATATTCTATCTTTCAACACTGAAGAGGAAGAATTTTATATTCTGTCTTCAGTTGGAAAAGAAACTCGAGGTGGGATCTCCACCCCCAGAATCCGGAAGGATGAAACTAAGAGTGGGATCTCCATTCCGAGAATCGGAAAGATTCAAACGACCCTAACTTTTGGTTGTTTGATCTAAGAAAAGAGTTCCTCATTTATTGAGGGGAAATTCCAATTTCGACCCTAACTTTTATAGGTTTGGCTGAAAAGGAAAAGATGGAAGTCTTTCGTTTATCAAAAAAAGATGATTCGATCTTAGTCCTAACTATCTGCAGGTTTGACTAAGTGAGGTTGGAGACAATCCTAACTTTTATAGGTTTGATTGCTCAAATTGAAAATGAATCTCTCGTTCATGAAAGGAATCGAGAGGAGAAATTGGCTTTGGCCCTAACTTTTATAGGTTTGACCTGAAAGCAAAGAGAGTGGAATACAGATAGCAGTAGAAATACTGGTTTGTACTAAACACTCGATGGGGGATTTTGATGTTAAGTGATTAGGCCTTAACACATCAAGTTTTAGGAATTGCCATGAATTGGCGGATAAAAATTTAGTGGACCCACTGTCAATTGATTTGATCAGTGGGGGGATTTTGTGAGGAAAAGTTGATCTGTCAAGATGATCGAATCTCATTCACCAATAATAAATCACGCTTTAACTTTGAAACATTCAGAGTCCAAGTGTAAATTTTTATTTATTATAGCAACTGGGTTATCCCTAAGAATACGACATGCAGTATTCTTCTGGGAACTTCCCGATACATTGATTATCCTGAATATACTAAGGATAGTATTTCTTTAGGAATTTGCCGTTTATCGGCATCATAAGTCGATCGCCTTCTCTGGTAACAAGGCGATATACACCGTTGAGTAGGTTATCTCTACTATAAACGCAGTTGACTGTTAGTTGAGAATCACCGAAAACTTTTGAGATATTCGACCCTAACTCTTTGGCGAAACTGAGTCCAATAAGCAATGTCTTATTTTCGACCCTTTTGTTGATGTCGGGTTATCCTTAAGAATATTATGTATATTATTCTCCAGGAACTTCCCGTTTGATACAAGGAAAACAGTTTATACTCGTATACCTGTTGGAGTTTTGAAAGGAGCAGTTTATACTCGTATACTTTTTGGAGTTTTGAAAGGAGCAGTTTATACTCGTATACTTTTCGGAGTAATGGTGGTCATTCTCACTCGGTTTGTTCTGCCATTGAGACGTCGGCTTCAACTAAGGCCTGTATTGTATTCTTGAGAGTGATACAAGTCTTGGTGGGATGATGGATCCTCCTGTGGTATTCACAATATTTTGGGTCTGAACTCCCGTTGGCTTCCTCCTCGCTTTTAATAGGTGGGAGCTTGATTTTGTCGTTTTTCAGGAGGTACTTGAGGATGGCTGGAACCTCATCATCCTTGAAAGAGTATCGTTGCATCTGAAGCGACTGTTGTGGCGATCGCTCCCATGGTTGTCGTTGTGACGTTTGATCAGCAGCGAACCTGGGTACAAACTCTGATTGGCTTTCCTCAACTCTCTTTCTTTTGGGATAGCGTCTAGTCGAGGTGGTGACAGACTCGACTTCTTTCCGCTTTTCGTCTTCATTTTCATTTTTCTTTGGATGATGTCGAGAAGTAGGAATTAGGTCACCCCCAGTGTCATTGAAGGATCTGGTCGTACCACCCCCAGTGTTATCGAGGGGTGAATCAGTCTTGATGACCATATTCAGATTCGGACCATTGTTATTTGTCCTATCTGGAATAGGCGTGGTTGGTGTAGCGCAACAGCTAGACCCAGCTTGATGATCAGATTTAGGAAATTTACACCTTTCAGCTTGCAACTCTCTTATTTGTCGCATAGCCAATTCCATCTTACCCTCAAATTCTTCTTTCTGCTTGATTAACGCTTCTTGAACTATTTGAGTGAGCTGGTCAGGAGTAATGTTGAACGCATCCCTAGTGTTTTTAGAGAGACGTGATAACTCGTGTAGAGTCACTTTTACTGGGATGTTAGCCAATTGGGTCATAACATCAAAGTGATATGAAATATTTGGATCTCCCAGTTTATCTCTTCCAATCTGCTGACTCCGGTTCTTCAGACGACGGCTTGATTCGAGTCAAGAAAGCTTCAGAGTCATTCAAGGCTTCCTGCAATGCTTTCCTTGTGTCTTTTGATAGACGCAATAATTCATATAGGGTTATCCTGGCTGGTATATTAGCTAACTGCGCCATGATGTCAAAATGGGGCGGAGAGCTTGCCTTTCCCGGTTTGTCTCTCCCAATCGGATGATTGAATCGAGACTGCCTCGGGTTTTGGACTTCTTGGTGTAGAGGCTCTTTTCCTTTCTCCTTTTGCTGGACTTTCTCCGTAGCTACAGGTGTTGGGGGAGTCGCGACAATTCCCAGTTCTGCCAACGTCTTTGAGGGAACGGTTTTGTTTGCTCCCAGTTGCTCAGAAGCATCCGGATATTTGTAGTGATATTCATTCCCACTCCGTGTTGCAAAGGTCTCCTGTTCATCTTCAGAAAGCGGGAAGGCTGGGATTTCCTCGTCGTCTTTTCCTGGAATAGCAAAAGCTCCATAACAAGACTTACCTTTTCCTTTTGACCTCTTTTTGGAAGAGGCTCCGTTCCATTGTTCATCTCCAACCAAATCTGGATGAACCCAAAGAATCTCACCATTCGGGGCCGTGTGTGGTACAAGTCCCTTCTGGCGCTGTTTATGAGGATCATCGTTCACGGTCTTCACCGTTGCATTTATTACCGGCTCATGCTGGAACCAGTTCAAGGGAACAGAACCGAAGCTAATCGATACTGCATTTGCACCCACCTTCTTCTCCTTAGGTTGTTTCATAGTGATGACCCCAACATCAATCAAAGCTTGAATCTTATCCTTAAGGGCGTAGCACGACTTGGTAGGGTGGTGAACTGCTCTGTGAAACGCGCAATACTTCGGGTCATTAACCCTTTTGGCGTCTTCCTGATCTTGGATTGGCGGCAACTTAATCTTATTGTTCTCTATAAGGTATTTAAAAATACCGGGAACTTCATCTTCCTTGAATGAGTAAACCTTCGGGAATTTCGGTTCCGAAGTCTTCTGTTTTTGCGGCTGTTGTTGCCACCGTGACTGTTGAGGCGCCTTCTGCTGCTGCTGCTGCGGTTGCGCTTGCACTTCAAATGTTTGGTTCGCATCCACTGCATTCGCTTGCGCTTTCCCTTTACCCTTAGAAACAAAATTCTGTTGCGGGGCTGTGCTTTCCCTTTTCCCTTAGGGACAAAATTTTGTTGCGGGGCTGGTGCCGTCGTTTGACCTCTTTCGGCTTTTTTTCTCTTGAGGAAACGTTCGGCTCTTTCCCCTCGGACCTTCAAGTCTTTCCAGGTCTTAGATGGTGCCATTCCCATAGCTTCAAGAATATCCAATGAAAGATTGTTATGACAAGTCTCCAGAATAAAGTCTTCACTAATCGGATCCCTACAATTCATGGCCTTGTTTCGGAATCGCTTAATGAAATTCTCTACTAACTCTCCGTCCTTTTGTTTCTCATCAAATAATGTCCCGATCGAGACCTCAGTGTCGTCGTCAAAGAAATTTGTGAGAAACATATCCTCCATGTCATCCCAACTGGCGATGCTCCCCGGCTTGAGGCGGCGATACCAATCGAAGGCTGCTCCGCGAAGAGTGCCGACGAATGACCGTACCATCAGAGGTTCGTTCCCGGAGATTATTCCCAAATGAGACTTGAAGTATATTAAATGCTGCGTGGGGGAACCCTTTCCATCAAATGGCGTGAAATTGATCAAATTGAATTTTGCTGGATACGGGATTGATTCCCACTCCCTTGGGTATGGGCACGGTATTCCAGACCTTTTCACTTCCTGAGCATTCATCAACGCATTGATCTTGCTCTCCAAATCCCTCATCTTCTTGTCTTCACTCGTATCTGTCTTCGAGTGGTTTCGGGGAGAGGTAACGTGGTCCTCTTTCGTATTGTTATCATCCGAAGGGCCACCCCCATTATTGTTATTGACGGGAGG